CAAAGAGAGAAAGGGAAATATGGGAACGGAACTGTTTGGTGGTGGTAACGGGGGAAGAAAGGGGGGGGGGAGGGGGAAGGTAAATTAACAAGGTTAATTAATAGGTTGTTGTGATTGTGGTTTGAGTTTTTAATTTTTCTCTTTCTGGTTTTCTTGAAAGAGAAGACCAGTAAAGTTTCTGAATTTTAATAATGCTGATAACATGTTTAATACATGAAAAATCTGTATCTCTATCTGCCTATTTATCAAGCCATCTATCTATCTATCTATCTTCCAATCAACCCATCTATCTATTTCTCTAAATGGTTGGGGGATATTCGGGTAACTTATATAGGTTATTAAAAGGAAAATACAATTTCTTTGGTATAATTATGGAAATGCACAAGGTACATATTTACAAACTTACTTATATAAATGCAAATAACAACAAACATACAATGTTACAGAGTTTACATACACACAATGATTATACATATCTAAGTTAATGAGAATAGTTTGTGTAATAGTCACTAATTATGTTATTCCATTATGTCTTTCAAGGAAGGTCACAAAATACAAAATATCTGATCATTTGTTCAGAGAGAATGGCGTGAACTGAGGATCTAATTAGAAAATTGGATCTCAGAGCTCTGTTGTTCCACGAACGAAAGGTTTCCTTTGCAAGATCGATTGTACATATATATATATATATATTTTTTTTCTTGTATGATGTCAAATACTGTTCGAGTCCCAACGTGACTTCATTCATCTCGTGGTTTTCATATAATAACTACCGAGGCAATATTACTAATAATTTATTACACTTATCTTTTTTATCTGTCAGCTGTCTGTTCTTCTTCAATTCTAACAATCAGTGAAAATAAAGCTCTTCTGTACAGCGTAATGTGTAATGCTTTCTCATGCATAACAAAACATATGGTGATGATCGCACGCACACATACAATCTCATTAAACAGTTATTTTCCGTTACAGAATATTTCTTTATATAGCTTAATAATGGCACTTTTGAGTTAGACGTTAAAGCCAGTCATAGATATATATATAAAATTATCATAATACATTTCTTTTTCTAATTATTAGTTACTCGATCTCTCTTTATCTGACACATACTATATATTACACAATACATCACAGGCTAAAAGATATGGGTGTTAAAGCTTAGCGAAAATAATTATCTGCTTTTCCTCTCTGTATGAAAATGACCCGGTTTCCCTCAGTCACGTGACCTAGGTTCATCTTCCTAACTGGGTCATGAGGTTAGTAGGGTTAGGTACAACCCCGATAGACAGCTTCTTAGAAACTCCTTGGGGGGGGGGGGTCAAAGGCTATCTAAAAAAAACAAAAATCAGGAAGTTTACTTAGAAATTCTGAATTAGACACGAGGAAGTTTACTTAGAAATTCTGATTCAGACACAGAAAAGTTTACTTAGACGTCTGAATTACTGACGGGGAAGTTTATTTACGCATCTAAGGAAGCTTTCTTAGATATCTGAATTACAGACGAGGAAAACTTACATAGAAATCTTTGTTAGAAACGAAAAAAAGTTTCGTTCAAGATCGAGAGTTAGAAACAAAAATCATGTTTTTTTTCAGCTTTCTCCTTCCCTTTTCTTTTTTATCGTCGACTGCGTTATTTAGCTCTACTTAAGCTTTCTAGTGTTAGCTTTTTCCCTTTCCCCCGACTGAGTCCATGCAACGCCGTGAGTCATCCTACAACACCTGTAAGGAAGCTGGGCTGAGTCCTTGCTTCCGGGGATGTATGTGGACGAGTCATGCGTTGAGAGAGGGAGAGAGAGGTCCTCACTTGCCATAGGGATTTTTATTTTTTTTTTCTCTCTCTCTCTTTCTTTTGCGAGATACCCCTTTCTCTCTCTCTCTCTTTCGCTTTCTCTCTCTGTGCCTTCGTCTCTGTTATTTTTTTTCCTTTTCTTTGCGCTGTTGTGCTTGTTGGTCTTTGTGGTGTTCTGTTTCATTTTATTTTCTCTCTCACGTGCTCTTTCTACTTTTCATCTCTCTCTCTCTCTCTCTCTCTCCATCTCTTTCTCTCCCTCTCTCTCTCACCCTCACTCCATCTCACCCTCTCTCCCTCTCTCTCCCTCTCACCCTCTCTCCCTCTCTCTCCCTCTCACCCTCTCCCCCTCTCCCATGCACAACCCCCCCTCCCTTTTCCTTGCCCCATCCTTCAGCGCAGAAACAGCAGACACGAGAGAAGCGGCGAATCCTCCCTCTACAGAAACGTTCCCTCTGTGTACTGGTTCCTGACGTAGGAGAGCGGATGGGGCGCGGGTGCTTCCTGGGGCCTCGTCGAGAACTCCTGGTGGTGCTGGGCGGTCAGGCTGAAGGGGGAGGGGAGGAAGCAACACTTGGGAGAGCAGTACATGTTGCCAGCGGCGCAGCGACACTCCATGCACACGTCTGATGCAACTCCTGTGGGAAGAGGGGCAGGAAGGGTGGTCAGCTGATTACGAAGTCATTAAAAAAAACGACAAAATAAATAAATAAAGAAAAAAAATACGGAAAAAGAAAAAGAAAAACAAAAACAAAGAAAAAATAAAAATAAAAATACGGAAAAGGATTTTGAATACGAGGATCAAGTCCGCCCAGATTTCGAATCGAAAATAAACATCTGGAATTCTCTTAAATAATCAAAACAACATTTTCCATTCGGATATGCAAATTTTACTTACTGACAAGAGTAAATCAATGTCTGGGACTCTCTTTTCATAACCATGGCAACATCTGACTTACTTTAGCATCATTTTTGCCGTAAAGCTGATTATGTCAAATTACTTTTTATATGTTATGTCTGATTTAATTAACTTTATAGCAAGGATACGTGTGATTTTGATTATCTCTATAGGAGAGGTTGAACTATTTAAATGTCCTATGATATAAAAGGTAATATAGTTCATTTCACTGTTATTATCACTATGTTGTGTTAGATAATAACTGCAAGAGGGAGGTTAGTAATATTCGGTATTTTTAATGATAGATAGTCATTGTTATTACTCTTATATACACGATGTCTTTCACTGATTATCGATAATGATTATATACAAAAAGGTGTTTGGAGATTCGAAAGCAACCAAAAGAAAAATCCACAGGTCGAAAAAAATGTATACAAGGGCACACACACACACACAACCCTCCTCCCCCCACACACAACCCCCCCAACCCTCCCCCCCACACAAACCCCCCCCAACCCCCCCTAAACCCTCCTCACACACACACACACACACACAACCCTCTCCTACCCACCCACCCCACAAAAAAAAAATATATACACACAAAAACAAACAAACAAACAAGACTGACCTATGACCTCTCCCAGGTTGTACTTGACCCCAAGAATCATGCAGGACTTGTCGTCGGGGTCGTGGTGGTGGTCGTGGGAGCCGTTTACTGCTCGGCGGACGCGCAACGACCTCTCGACTCGGGACACGAAGGCGGCGTCGAACTGAAGAAGAGGGGGGGGGGGGATTAACACTTGAAAATAACACGTGGAAAATAACACATAGAAATTAACGCGTGGAAAATAACACGGTAAGTTAATTAAAGGAAGTTGACACGTGGAAAGTAACACAGGAAATTAATAGAGGAAATTGATTCAGGAAAATAACACGTGGAAAATAACACAGGAAGTTAATTAAAGGAAGTTGATTCAGGAAATCAACACGTGGAAAATAACACAGGAAGTTAATTAAAGGAAGTTGATTCAGGAAATCAACACGTGGAAAATAACACAGGAAGTTAATTAAAGGAAGTTGATTCAGGAAATGAACACGTGGAAATTAACACAGGAAATCAATAAAGGCAATTGATTCAAGATATTAACAGGTGGAAATTAACACAGGAGATTAGGACTTGAAATTAACACAGAAAATGAAGACTTGAAATTAGCACAGGAAGCTAACACGCAGGATTAACATTGGAGATTTATATGAGATTAACATGTAAAAATTAATGCTAGGAGATTATATATGAAATTAACACAGGAAATTAACACGTAAAAATTAACACGTAGAATTATCATTAGGAGATTAAATAAGAAATTAACAAATGACGTTAGCATGTAATTATTAACATTCAGAGAATATGAAATTAACACATGATATTAACGCGTAAATATTACCACGTGGAATTAACATAGACCAAATATGAATCAAATTAATACGAAATTTATTTATGCGAATAAATACTGGAGAGGAAGATAATACAGGGATAAGTGGATAAAACAATAAATTTATGTAGTTTTAAACTGTTTCAATAATAATACATAAGAACTATACATTAGCCGTATTTTAAGAAGCTAAAAATCACACTAGTGTATGTATGTATATATTTTTTTTCTCTCTCTTTTTCTGCAGAACTGACATGAAAAAACTTGATATATAATAAATATCTTAAAATAAAATAGATATATACGCCATCGGGAAAAGAAAAGAAAAGAAAAGAAAAGAAAAGGAAGAAAAGAAGAAGAAAAAGAAGAAGAAAAGAAAAGAAAAGAAAAAGGAAAAGAAAAGAAAAGAAAAGGAGAGAAAAGAAAAGAAAAGAAAAGAAAAGAAAAGAAAAGAAAAGAAAAGAAAAGAAAAGGAAAGGAAAGAAATGAAAAGAAAAAATAAAAGGAAGGAAAGGAAAAGAAAAGAAAAGAAAAGGGAAAAAATTACGCTCGTAACTCACCTGGATCGGGAAAGGCTCGTCGACAGGTAGGCGCAGGGAGGAAGTGGGCGTGGCTTCGCGAATGAGTCGACGCCTGCGCAGTTTGTTCAGTCGTGCGCCGAACTCTCTCTCTGGCGCCGACTTCGCCTTCGTCGGGATCTCTGAGGAAAAAAAGGACTTCATTAATAAATATGTTGGATGGAGGAAGGAAAGGGTACGTCCATTTAGGTAATATGAAAAAGTAAACGAGGTGAATAAATAGGTACATTAAGAAGTGAATTGGAAAATGAAGATATGAATGAATATATAGGGAATCGGACGCATAGATGAATAAATAAGTA